CATTAAGAGAAAACACTTTCAGTTCATCACGGGAGGAACTTTTAATGTTCGATGGTTGCTGATACTTACAATTGGTTAATATATCGCTGATTTCGTTCCAGTATTGGTAACTTTCATCGTTATCCTGATCTAAAGCGTTACCAATCAAATCTAAACCATGTGAGCGGTCGTATGGATTGAAAAGAGCAGTGATTCGGCTGCTACAGTCCATAAAAAGATCATAAGATGTCACATAATAACCTGGGATTAACGACTCACAGCACTTTATGCAGCCTAAATTATCTCTAAAGCACTTTTTATGAATGTACTCATCGCACCATGGACAAAACCTAATGTTTAATCTAGAATAACAAAACCCGTTACAGGCCATGCACTTTGTTTTAAAATTAGTCTTGTTAACACTACTTTTTTTATTCGTCGGGACATCAGATGCATTGATTGGGAGAATTGAGCTTATGCATTCATAGCAGAACCATGGGTTCCCAGAATTTATAATGTGCCGGGCATCGTTTTTTGATAGTTTCTGGCATTTTAAATGTTTACGTTCAGCACATAGGTCACAAATTAGGTCAGGAGAACTTTTAGGGATACGAACATAGCATTTGTCGCAATTGGGCTGTGAGCCGTGTTGCCTATGATTACTTCCCTCCACTTTCAGTGACAGAATAAAGTAAGAGTTGAAAACAGATTAGATAAATGAAATAAAAACTGAATAAAGAAAAATTGATATTAATATATAATCTGGTGGGTGTAGACAGTAGGCTGGTCAAATCCGTTTGCAAGAACTTTCAGTTCTGTGTGCAAGACAAGATCGTGACGGTTGGGCCTATTTACTACTTAAAAACTACAGATTATTGTCTGCTCAAAATCAACAGGCTCTGCAACTAGTTCTCTTAAAGAATTTGATAATAAATAACAGAAAAGATTGACTAATGCGAGGGGCGCACGGACTGTGGATCAGTCATAGTCTGTCAGAAGTCGGTAGTTGGGTAGATTGTCGATGTGATTTGTCGTTTTCTGTATCATGTGTACAATGTAATAAGATGTAATAATATACAGTAGGCCTCGTATTTTGTTTTATAAATGGAGTATTAAACGATGCGATTAAGGGACTGTAATTAGAATGACTGATAAGTGTAAAGCCGAGATTACTGATAAGGTGAAATGTTGTGACAGGTCTAAGTGAGTTGCGATAATATTAGTATTCGACGTGTTTTGAAATTGTTATGCTACGTTGGCTTAATTTGAAATATGATTGCAGATCAGTCCTTTTACAAATTGATCATAGAAGTTGTATGTGTTTAACTCTCAGCCGAAACCGCAACTATTCATATAGTTGTTGCATATATCTAAAAATGGACGTCTTAGAGGTAGTGATCCTTTACGAAATCCTAAGCTCAGTAAAATCAAATTTATCCAGCATGTCGTGAGAACGGATTTGCCAGTGTTATTTAAATGTAGGCCGTCCCGTGCAAGGTGGGGCAAACCGAAATTCAAATTGTCAAACAAAAGAAAGTTGGGCGAGCGTAGTGAGAGATGAACAAGCAGCTCGTTCAGGTTGTTAATACTGTCGTTCAGCTCATGGTAAGGGTCTGCATTCAAGTTGACTGGTGATATGGCGTCGAAGATGAATTGAGTGCCAGAGTGACTTGTGAAATGTTTTAGGTGGTCATGCAGGGTCATAGGATCAGCATGACCGAATCTGAGGTCGTTCACTCCAGCACTGATGAGGACTAGATCAGATTGTTCAATTGAGGCTTGGTGTTGTGCTAAGTCTCTCAGATGGAAGAGATCTTCTCTGAACGCAATGATCGGCTCTTTGAGGAGAGAGCAGTCGAATGTACGGTTCTTGGAGTCAGACAGTATAAGAACTCGCCGAAGTCGTTTCGGTGTTGGGTGGTCCTTGAGTGGTGATGATAGGCCTGACGACAAGGAGCCTCGTTGGGGACGTCTGCTCTTCTTGACTGTACCGGGGTCCTCTAGCAGTCTGAAGGTAATGCTCAATCGGGGCCCCTCAAATTTCTCTTCAGGAATTCCTGGAACGGAGTGATCCCATTCATCCTGGCTTTGTCTGGACATGGTATAGAGAGAACCATGAGTAGCTGTGAATGTCTCCTTCTTGTACTCACCAGGGATCTTCCTCCGAAATACCACTTCTCTAGGACAGCCGAGTGACAGAGTGATGATGTTACTATCCCTACTGATACTGGGTTCGTTGTCTGAGTGGGGTGGAATGCAGGAGCGGGGAGAATCGTATGAGGTGACCATGGCTGAGTTGAAATTAAGATCTGGATATTCGGTCTTAAGAACATTAGCAATTTCACTCAAATATGACGATTTTGAAATGTCTCTAGCATGATGGGAACCGCCGGAATAGCGATATGAGAACTGACCATAGTAGGCAACACGTCTATTAGGAAAAGTACGGTCATAAGTTACGTCATCGTTCAGCGCAGAACTCGTAAATGTGTCAAAATGCGCACCATCAAGTGTCTCAAACGGTAGTGTACCTGAGTTTGTCGAGTTACCGTGTAGTCCTGGGCTGTGTAGTCGTTGGCTGGGCGGTGGGGGGATAGGCGTCTGCTGAGGGCTGCAGGGTGGTTGAATAGCTGTGGTAGTTGTTGAACTGAGAGTTTGGCCAATGTCTTTTTGAAGTCCTTTCAACTGCTTACTAGCGTCCTCCGTGTGCCTCGTAATGATTTCAGTTAAATTATCAACGCAATTAGATAACAAGTTAAATAAAGAATCTTGTTCTTCGCCAATAAATTGTTGGAAATGCGCTCTTAGGGCCACACGAGCTTCGTCAATGTCCTTTTTACTACGAGTTTTACGTGGCAGATTCTTGATAAATTCAGGATTCAAAATAAGGTTGCTCTCCCTCATTATCTGATCTTCATCTAGCTTGTCGACTAGCTCTAGGCTGGTCAGCGCTGAGAACCGTACTTTTGATTTAAATTAACAAGTCAATAGATATTTTTTCGTAGGATAATTAATCAAATTTACTGAATACTGAATACTGAATACTGAATACTGAATACTGAATACTGAATACTGAATACTGAATACTGAATACTGAATACTGAATACTGAATACTGAACACATTAATTATAATTTACTACATATCGTGCCCAAAAACTGAGGCTACAGAAAACAAATACTCGATCTTGCTAGAGTATGTGGAGTAAAATGAACAGATATCGTGGAGTTGGGTATGGCAATTCCTTCGCCTCTTAGCGGGTGTCTTGCCAACACTCAACCTATCGATGCGAAAGTCAGTGATGACTTGCTGCTCTTTGATTGCTCTCACATACTCTTGAACAGAGGGCTTTGGGCGATGCACTCGGGATTTAAATCATTCATAACAGCTTTCTCGAAATCTACTAAAATGGTACCAGTGTCCACCGGACAATGCTGGTCAAAATAGTGCTTAATAACATCTAAAACAAATTCATAAGTGTCCCCTTTCTTGTCACCACTTAAAATATAAACTAAAGGCACACATTTGTTGTCTAGGACTTCTCTTCGTTCTGGGGCTGCGAGGTCTGCTTCGTGGATGTGGGTTTTCGTACTCAATCTGAGAGAATCGTCTGAGAGGGATAGATAGCAGAGACACGGACACTTCGTAGGGAGTTTGTGCTTGCAGCACCGCCAGGAAGATGTGAGGGCTGAATCCTTGTTCTTCTTCCGACAGTAAGTGAATCCATCAGAGTCAAGTAGCTGTTGAGATCCTGTCCGACCAGAGATGAATTTGGAGAAGGTAGGCATGTTGATAGAATGTAAGAATGCGATACTATTGTCTTTCATCTTTCAGTATATATACCTAAGAACACTTGATCGGCTCACTCTCCTTGCATGCCTTTGGCACGTACGTCTCACATCCCTTGATACGAGAACCCCCCCTTAAGCAAGAGCTCCCGTCCCTTGTGTGATCTACGAGTCGAGCAGTCAGATCATGTTTACTTCTTAATGTACAGCTATGATTTACAGAATTGACATGTGAACTCTACCCTATATCTAGCTCATTTCTGGGTCTACTGATGGATCACATGGATGGATCACATCACTAATTATACGTCACACCACTAATTATACGTCATATGATCTGACCTCTAATAATGGAGGGCCCCCCTTTGTCGGCCTCCCGTTACTAAATATCACATACTTAAATGACAATGCTCCAGGACAGTACCAGTACCAGTACCAGTACCAGTACCAGTACCAGTACCAGTACCAGTACCAGTACCAGTACCAGTACCAGTGTACCAGTGTACCAGTGTACCAGTGTACCAGTGTACCAGTGTACCAGGGACAAAAGGATTTCGCGATTATTTTGGCCAAAAATCGCGGTACCGCGAAATTTAACAGGCTATACATTAAACTATACATAAAATTTGTCGCGGAGAATGGGAAATTTCGCGATTTCGTACATGCCGCGAAATCCTTTTGTCCCTGCAGTGTACCAACTACCAGTGTACCAGTGTACCAGCGTTTGTTTATAGATATTCTATAGAATGTAAGGGGTGTAGCGTGTCCGGTGGTAAGCTTGACAAATTAGTGTTGTTACAAGTGGGGTAGCGATACCTTGCTAATAGTGGGGTAGCGATACCTTGCTAATAGGGCCATATCCGTCAATCATTCCTCTTTAGCTGACATCTCCCACGCGCACACTTATATTCTCCACAGGCAGTATATATCTGATAATGTCGGACTAGTTTCAGTAACTTCCCTCTGGACCGTTGTTAATAAACTATAATAAGCGAGAGTTTTTGATTAAGGATGTATTTTTTAGGATTACGTAGAGTAGTAAAACTAGAATAAAGTACCAGTAATACCACTTCGGAATAGTATATCCTAAACTAGAGTTCGTTGAAGTCTGGAATTACGAGCGAAGAAACATCTACTCCATAACATTAGTGGAAAGATAATTTTAATGGTATTTTACTTTTCAGTTAAGGGATCTAGATTTTGATGGTAGAATATCACTAATCTTTCTTTTCAGATATCAACGAGTGTCTAAGCGACAAAACGAACAAATGCCAACAGGAATGCACCAATGTAGAGGCAGGATATGAATGCCATTGCAAGTAAGTCTAATGGTTTCTGCGGAAATTTTTCTTTGCATTTGTATCTTACTTTGTCTGATTCATACAAAAAGTCTAACATTGGACAGGCTTATCTTATATGATATCCCAGTTTGCTCCAGAAACCCAAACCTTCCTGCAGCCCTGCATGTTTTCAATAAGCCACTGTAACTGTATCATCTGTTATATATTTAGACCACACAAAACCACTTGGAGACCAACTCAGACTCATAATTGCTAGCATCTTAACTTACAATTTGGGGTCCTTACGTCAAGGGATCATCAAACCGGCACCTATTTACGTCAGTTGCTGTATCCTACCCTCTGTTTCACCCTCAGTGCCAGCTAATTGTGGCCTTTTTACCTGGGTTACAATCTTGTAGCCTGTTTAAACCTGGTTTATGCGCCTCTTACACACACTGTCTTGTACGTGGTGATGTCATTTCAGCGGCCCTCGGTTTAACGGAAATTCTAAAATCTGTCATTCGATAAGCGAGGAGTGTGAGCATGATTAGATTTAGCGATAAAGGTAAATACGGTAAGGTTTCTCTCATCATTTGCACACACGCAGGAAAGGGGCTGAGGTAATGTGATTTATCGCTGGCTGGAGGGCTGCAGGCACACTATTCAGTGTGAGAGAGGGAGGTCATTCTCGGGCTCCATAATCTAATCATGAATTTGTGTGCACCTGTGTAATGTTCACTGGCGGGAAGATGACGTTAGCTCATGCACGGATTGGTATTTATTGAATGTGATAATATAAAACAACAAGCCCTGAGAATAATGATGTGGTCACCTCGAGATATATGTAATGTGAACACGTTTTGGTTCCTTTAGAATCCCAGATTAGTCGTGGGTTTGCTCTTCCATAAAGATTATCATTTTGTGAAGGCCATTAAATCCTCATTTGAAGCGCGGAGTCTGTTCGATAAGTAAGGTAGATCATAATTTAAGTAATAGATGCTGTCGAATCCTACTCATCCAATGTCAGACCTTTTATCTGTATGTACTTCCGAGTAAGATTTAAAATGTGCCTATAGGCCATTATAAGTTGAAACGAATGCTTAGCTCTTTAGCTTTATAACTAACAAATCAAGTAAGATGGTGTACTTATCTCTGCGCAATCTGTTTCATTTCACCGAAGAGTTCCTTGATAATTGCGCTCAAGCCGGGTAGAGGTTAACAATTCTTTCTACATTTGATGTCACAGAAGATGTCGAACATTGCTCAGCAAGCAGCAATGACAAAAGTTTATGTTTATGGGACAGTATTTGTCCCGTTTAGAATTATTGAAAGCACGCGACATATATTTAACTGATAAAGTTGATTGCGCGCATTACAAGCAGCTACCGTGACGGGAAAGAGAATGATGCGCGCGCATTAAAACTGTCAACAATTATTGGGCATCCTGCCAACTGCATGCACCTGTCTCTTCTGCTGAGTGCCGAGTAACCTTATCTCCAATTTGCCAAACTATTCCAGTAACCAATGTATTACTAACTGCGGACCCTCCCAGGCCCGGTTATGTGTTGGACAAGGACAGCTACACCTGCAACGATATCGATGAGTGCGCATGTGACGACGATAGTGGATGTGGGGGCTGTGAGCAACTTTGTGTTAACACTGAAGGCAGCTTTCACTGCAGCTGTAAAAGCGGTTACGTACCCCTCCGACGAGATGCTAGTCTTTGTGTCATTCCGGTAGGTTGAGTGCTGAAATTTATTAGAATATTTACAAGAGTGAATTCAAAACTACGTTGAAATTATTCAACGTAGTACTCAAATCGAAGTTCCATCTTCCACTGTCCAAAAAATGTATAAACGATCTACTACTTCAGTGGTCTAAGTTTGATCCTTGCTTGGCGGGCGAATGTTTGGACGTGAAGAATGCTGACTGTATACGAAGAGATAAAAACGAAACCTTCTGTCAGTGTAAACTTGGCTTTTACCAGGGGAACGATGATTACGGAAAGATGGAATGTGTTAAAGAGCACTGCGATGAGAACCCTTGTCCAGCTGGACACACTTGTGAAGGTTAAAATCTTTAAAATAATTTGTTATTTTCCCGTATCAACAACCTAGTCAGAACAATTGTTAGTCTTGACTTTGAAGGAGCTGTCTCAGTCATTTCATCCTTAACGTTTTTTCAGAGAGGCCAGACGACAGAATATGTATCCCAATTGATGGTGAAGCTCCAGTTTCGAAGAACCAGAGCGGGGGTAACGATAGTGTTAAGAACATCATTATCATCACTGTTGCTGTAGTGGTGGCTTGGTTCATCATTATAACCATCATAATACTGTAAGTATAATATCTACTTCAAGTTTTTAAAACTTTTTCTTCGAATTTAAATTGGTTTTTCTGAAACAATGAATAAAACTTAATAATTTCATCTTCCAGGATAATCAGGAAGAGGAGATTCAAGAAAAAGAAGCCCCGTCCTAATGGTTACACGAACATAGCTGGTTACCCAGTCGTCCCATCTCTCCCCAACAATCTTCCAATGAACCGATCCAGCCTGGTACATAACTCTTTCTTTTGTTTAAGTATCAACAATTTCATGTTCCAGAAACCAAGAACCGTAATGAGCACCACCAACACCAAATCTCAGTAATTACCCCAGTATTTAACTGATGTTCCTTTTCAGCTGGATAACCCGATATACCATGCTAGTTCATACACAGCACGGGAATCTGGCGAGCACGAGTACGAAGAGCTCGACAAATTGGGCCACCGTCGCAAGAAGTTTGCCAGCAACAGTTACGATCAGGTACGCGTAGCTTTGCAGAGAATTCGCTGTTGCGTTTAGCTTTGCAAGTTTGCGCCGGAGTGCTGCGTAGCTTTGCCAAGTTTGCATCTAGAGTTCATGTAGCTTGGTTAAGTTTGCGCGAGTGTTTGGGTTTGCAAAAAGTTTGTAGCCTTGCACTTATTTTGCTGAATCTTGCGAGTTGTGCTACTGATTACTGAAATTCTTTTTCGTTCTGCTGCTCCTGGACCTGGGTTTGTTTTGATTTCAAAACTATTTTGCTGCAATTTCAGTATAGATGAGCAACCGTATTACTTCTCTACTTTGCAATCTTTACAAGACATTTATCTTTAATAACTCTGAAATCGGTACAAAGCTATTGTTCTTCTCTCCCAACAATAAAAAACTTTCATTATTTAACCTCTGCTGTGTTTCAGGGGATAAACAATGTACTGGAGTACAATGACGACGGAGAGCCATATTCGTACGCGGTAACCCCAGGACCTCCTCCCCCTCTCATATCCTTCCTCCCCCTGTCCCTCCCCCTGTCATGTGAGTACATCCACACATCTTCCTTAAGCGAAACTATGAACATTTCTCATGGTAACGAGTGGGCTGTTTGTTAAATTTTACGGTAACCGTTGTCTAGACCCAGGACGTCTTATCCCAGCATTTAGTGCCCCATCTACGGTGGGTCCCGGATAATTCGAGCCTAGGTTACAACCGAACAGAATATCGAGATTATCTTAAGTTCATGTCCCATGACCTCTGGCCCCAAAGATTGTGGGCTGTGGCCCATCGACTTTCTGAATGGATCGTGGATCATTGATGTCTCATTGATCATTCATCGCTCCTTGATCATTGATCTATAAGACCATAGATTTAACACTAACGACAACGTCAATGCAAGGTACCCAGTAAGTGGTCGTTGGTTGTGACGTCAATAGGCCACAAACTCTGTAATAGTCTAATGTGATAGTGATACTCGTCTAAAATTCCTTTGAAGAAGCAACTCGAGCGGCAGTATGTTATAAAGATACCTCCGGTTTTATGTTCACTGTACTTGTAAGCAGAGCTTTAAGTACCTTTGAATAAGAATTTGCCGCTGCATTGGCCCGATACTTAGCGCAGGAAGTTGTTAGAGCTAGCGGTTCTAGGAAAGTTATTGGGATGTGAGGTTTTGCGGCTGAACGCTGTGGGGCACATCGTCACTGGTAATAGAAATATAGGGCATGAAGTTCTGGGCAGGTCAAGATGAGTACACTAAGTAAAGAGTAAAGAGGGTACCAACTGTTGTGACCTGGCGTAAAGTTTGGGCCACCTTATACAAATTTAACCAGTTACCAGCGTCCAGTATATGAAAATCTGTTCAATACGTTTCTAATAAACGACCCCTCTATTTTTAATACGCCTCACTAAAACCGCGCTCCATTTTCAGTACGCCTGAGTACGTGTGATCCTCTTGGTATGCCCTCCCAACAGGGGTTCACAACGTCACGATGCAGTGTGGTAGCCATAGAAACGCCTAGACAGCAAAGAGAGGTGTCGTAACTCACGAAAGAAGAAAGTTCCCTGTACATATAGTTTGACCGCAGACACTTGAAATGAAGAACTGCGAGTCCATACTGACAATCAGCTAATAAATTAATTGGCTTGACTCCAGCGCGCTGCTATTTTTATTGTACATTTCTTGATGTTTGAAAATTTTCTCAGTTATGATGATTGTTTACCATTGACTTAAATTTATCCTCCATGAAAAACTCTATATTCTTTAAAACATTATAGCTATGTATTGACTATCAGGGGAAAGAGAGTTTCCTTTAAGTTTATTCGTTAAAAATGAAATTGAGTTCGATTTAATCTCATTACAATTTTACTTAAAACTTCATTTACACAGTATATTTTACGCTATAATCAGAAAGATTTCCCGGAACTATTGATATAATACAGTATGGTGAATGGTCGACTTATTCGGATTAGAGAGTTTAGAAGTGTCATACAAGCGGAATGCGGTGGTCCACGTGGTTTTGCACGTGTTCTCTGTAAATTTTGGCACGTGACTAGCACACGTGTACCACCACATTCCACTTGTTTTAGTCTTAGAAACTGGGCCTGAATCTGGGCCCTATATTTAGAACACCCTATTATTTAGATACACACTAGGATTTAATTAAATTGTTCACGCAGATTTTGATATGTTCACATTTATGTTTCGTATAAATTTTCATAAATCAAACTTTCTACTACTTTCTTTGCACAGTGCACACGATGTTTCCGATTCACGGTTTGGACTGTTTGTTAGATATTCGACAGAGCATATATAATTATAACTATAATCACATATAGTTAAAATTATATATTTATATAATTGTAATCATATAATTACATCCCCCTGATCCTGTTTACCGTTTTGTTTTGTTTGTTTTGTTTATCGAGATCGGGTCATCTATTAAAGCACCGCTGCACGTGCAATTACATCTGTGAGTCTTGAGTAGGTGCATCATTAATCATGCACTAGCTCTGCGTTCATTTTATCCTAATACCTTAAAATGCACAGAGGAAATGTTGAAACTTCTTAGAAAGTTTCTGTGTACTGGTGCTTTAAAACAGAAGATCAGTTATACTTAGTGTAAGCAAGGTAGTCATGATCAATCATGACTAGCTTACCTTTATGAAGTGATAATTCGCTGAATTCACTAAGTTTTTATTTCTATTTATTGAGTATAGTATGATGTGAATTAAATTTATTTTATGAAATTTTGATTATGAAAGAAACGAGACAACCATACTTTTCCTTTAGATTTCCTTTAGACCATGTTTTCTGGTCCGATGCAAACCGTTTGGATGGTTTAACATACAGATTTTGAATTCCGACTCACTTGACCCGCATTACTTGAACTATTAAAATGTTCATCACGTCCTATGCTATAACGTTTGATAATTTGTTGATAATGAGAATTTACTTAATCAGAGTTGACCTAGATTGTTGTTGACGTAAGTGTGAAAGATAATGTTCGAGGGTTCACAGCATCGTTTTAGATCACCCGTGCATGAAATGAGCCATACTTGAAATATACTCTAATTTGGTGGCCTTCATTACAAACCATACTGATTAAGTTTTTGTAATGGCCATTTAAACGATGCTAAATCCCGACGCGTTTTGAATTTGAAGAGCTTATTGTGGATTTGTCTCGATCTTATCAACGACTTGTTTATATATTGATATTCTAATTTGTTATGTTTTAATAACAAGTTTGTCGTCTTGGTGACCGAATATTGTGATAACCAAGCCGACACTGTTCGATATGTTCTAAATCTTATTGATCACATTCATATCCTTGTTTTAGTCGAGTCCCAACTCTCAGTTTTATTTACTGGGCGGCGCTCAGCCTGTCATTCCGCCGAATCTTTATTTATGAACATAATAGCCTGGGGTCCCCAGGTAAAGTTTTGTAGGAACAGTTCAAATTGTTCCCTGAGAAAATGCTACAATTACTACCAAAAGTCACATCCGACTAGCTTCCATCTCTGTGCCCGACACTTGCAACTTCGGATGTAGCGCAACGCTCTGCTCAGTTGATGAATTATATTATGTGGGTGGTGAGGTATGACCCCAGGTGGGTTAGGGACTCCGCCCCAGGTACAAGATATAAACTCTCTGCTTTAGCGTGATTCCTTACGAACCACTTGGTCACTGAAGTTGCTCTCGTCACCCACCGTCAACTCCACCAAAATCACTTCCTTTTAACTTCGTCTGACCACACTAAAATGATCTCTCAGCTGAGCATGTCTTGAGGGAACAGCGCTGGAAAGTCATCCTCATCCCTCACCACCTGCCAATATATAGCCGTCTCAAAGAAGCTCACTTAGTTTTAATCTTAAAGTCGCGGTTTCTCAGTTTCTATAACTACTAGCACTGCTTACTATACAAATAATAACTGTTCGATGACTTTAATTTTTCGATCATGACTTAATTTTTTGAACAAGTGAACAAATATCTAGAATCTTTTAAAATTCATTATATAAAAGAAATTACCCAAGAAAACATCCAATATACATTCCCTTCCAGTCCAACGGCAAAGATTTCACGACAAAAATACTTGCCATATTGATAAATTCAAAGTTAATTCAAATTAATAGCATTTATTAGCTATAATACAATCCCTTCAATGACTATGAGTCTTCAGTCTCTATACCCAATCTCCGCTGCCGAATGATTAGCCTCGTCCTCCAGGTGCTCTACCTCCACCACCACCACCAGGTAGCCCTCCAAATCTTGACCCCTCTATTTCGTCCCGGTCTCGGATGTATTCTGCAAAATTATAATTGATATTATATCTGTTAAGTTGGAATATGAGAATATGGAAGGGAAGTGAAACTAAAATTATCATAATCTAGAATCGTCGGTACTCGGTACAGCCCCAGTTCAAATTACACTCCTCAATCATATAATCTATGCCCTGACAAGAGCCTGGATCAGAATCCTGTTATTTCGACGATATGTGAATAATACCTTAAGTACAGTGAATTTGTATGCCAAAAAAGTAAAACGCCAACTAACCATTATTGTCATGATTTCCAACGTCCTCGGGACTTGATGTTGTAGCCGTGAACACGCTAGCACTCACTGTGGGACGTTCTGTGAAGTTCACATCACAGGTTCCAAGACAAGCACTTGATTTCACTGTTCCATACTCCTGTCTTACCTTTAGACTGAACTTTGATTTCCTGTCTATCAATGAAAAGATCACAAATGCTTCATTGCTATTGATAACGATATTTCTCATTGATTGGCATACTTTAATCTCACCGCCACAGCCTTCGTTCGACTGGAAGATCCGTATGTGCTCCCTTGACTGACACGTTCGCTTCAAATTTACTGAATAGGGAGAAAGAACAAGGCGATATCCAGGTTGTGCGACTAAGTGGACGATGCACTGTTTGCCCTTTGGCGCGGTTCTGAAGGAGAAGCTCCTGTCCCTTGTGCTTGTTACACTAATTTTCTTGTAGCAATGGCTACCAGCATCTATCTCAACATAACCCAGACCGTGATTCTCAGCTCCGTCTTTACTCTGACTTGCTTTAATAACTTCTCCTCCGTCTAAAATGGTGGAAAAGTTGTCACAGTATTTCACTCCAGCTCCGTCCCTGCTTCCGGCATCCACAACCTCAACATTTCCCTCACACCTTCCGTAACCATCGACAGGAGAACTGAAATCGAAGCAAGCAAATGACTTCGTTTCCATCCCGTAATTGTAGGAACAGTCTCCTTCCAGTGAGATACCATTCATTGTTAAATACTGTGAGGAATTCAGTTGGTGTACGCATTCAAAGACCTCGTACTCCAACACCAGACCACTTTCCTCAACTGACCCGTCACTGTGGAAGTAAACAAGGGTGTCTCCAAGGGTGCGGAACTCTAACGCCCCTTGCCCACAGTATCTTTGAGCAGTTCCATTCTCCGCCGTGTACACCTCTACAAAGTCATATTTGCAGTTTTTGTCATACTCGATGTTCATGCTATCGATTTTCACAATCAGCTCCCTTCCCTGGTCGTTCCGTGGAATGTAAAGAATGCAGTCCGTGTTTGGGAAGTACAGATTAGCGGTGTCGGTGAATGGCTGCCAAATTCCACTTTCCAGGAATTGTCTGTTGTAGTCACGTGTCCCATAGACAGAACAGCCCTGATATCCCTCAGATGATATAGTGTAGTACTTCACTGAGAAACTTCCGGACTCTTGGGGCTTGAACTTGATGAAGAATGTACTAGAGGTGAAGTAGGTGACCCCTGTTCCATCCTCAGAGCAGCTTCCGATCAAACTTTCTTCGCCATCCTCCTCAGATTCAAGCAGTTCATACCTTGAACAATGGTCTCCTATGTGGTCAACTATGATTAGGATTTCTTTGTTAGGATCAGTCGAGTTTATTACATAGACGCATTCTTCATGATCATCTAGGACTGGATGGTCTTGTGTCACCAAACCCTCAGAGTCTTCTAGAACAGTTCTGCATGGGGGCTTTGGTTGCTCAGCTTCATAGATAAGCAGAATTTTGAATCCAGCTGCTTGTTTTAAGGAATCAGAGATAAAATTGATAGTCAGAACTTTAGACTCAAATGTAAGGGACTGAGTTTGCGGCCCACACAGTTTATGTGACAATAAAATGCCATCCTGTTCTATAATTTGGAGGTAATCAAACGCGCACTCTTCTCCCCCATCCTCCAGTTCAAACTTAATAAAGTGCATAGTGACCGCTCTCATTCCTGGAGGAATACTGATCGTCCAGGTGCAATTCATCCCATTCGGATAAATCTCTGGATAGTACGGGCTGCTCAGAATATTTTCCGTTATCTCACCGCATTTTAACTGCCAATTGTTGGGACCGTCCGTGGCAAAGGTTGCAAGAACAGATCCTGAGAAAGTGTTAGTTGTTTGCTTTTGAGAAGGTGTTTCTGAGGTTGTTATTTCCTCTTCATCTGCAGCTGATGTAGTTGCAGATGTTGGAGTTGTGGTGAATTCGTCGATACCACCGGGACCCTCTGAAGTCGAGGCTGTCACTACTTTCGGATCCTCAGCTTTGTCGCAACTCTCCGACCCGTATAGGGACCGGATGTTGTCGATATCATGGGAAGAAAGTGGTCGGCTATTTCCTCCTTCACAGCGTTCTTTGACGAAATCTGTGTTGAAGTATGCGAACATGATAGAGGTCTTGTGGAAGGAATGTCCGAGACCCAGCAGATGGCCTATCTCGTGCAGAGCTACCGAATAGAGCTCACAATTGTTAGACCAATCCTCATCCTCGTCGAAATGTGCTTTTCCAAGGGGAGGGTAAAATGCATGGGCCTTGACTCCACCAGGGCCATCAAAGGAACAATCTTTAGGGGGGTCGTGGCGCCAGCTAGCGAACTTCACTTCGATATCTGGAGACTGCGCTATGTCGACCAGTCTGAAGGATAGTGTTGAACACTCTGCCCAGGCTGTAAAGGCGGCACTGATCACTAACTTAGCTTGATCATTTTGGGGAGTTGTGTTTTCAAGAGCAAAAGTTAAATCGTGTTTATTCCACTTCGGTGTTGACCAACCAGCGTTTCTTTTCCGTCTGGAAACCTCTTGGCCAAGAAAGAATCTCGTCAAACTACTGCTCGTATCTATGATGTCGGGGTTTTGACAGCGAGGTGTCATCATCATCCCGATAGTGTCATCGTCAAACACCCCTGACTGCTCTACCCCTGCATAAAGCTGTAGTTTCTTTACCACTTCTACCGGGATCTCATTCATGCCAGCAAGTTCGTCATCACCAGACATGGATCGAGCTGCAGCAAATTCGGGCAGAATATTTATGCCCACTGGAACAGTATCAGAAGTACCCAGATAGCCGAACTGTTGAAGAAAAGCAGCCCTCGTCCTGAAGTCTGACTTGAAATCTACTTCTAGGGCCTTTAATTGCACCAACAAACAACATATTATAACAAACGTAAACATGCCAAAGTGCGAAGAGAAAAATGAAGCACGAATTTTACCGGGTGGAACCCGACCCCGGATAATAATTGAATTGTTATCAGCTAGTTGGAAGGGACAGTCTTCTTTTGCTCGTTAGCCAATAATGCGAGTTGCAAACGGCAACAAATGGTGAAATTAGAAATGCAGATTTTATCACAGGAAACCTGACCCAGGGCACGATTGAATTACTATTTGGAGGGCATCTAGTTTCCTTACTCTAATTTGAGTCAAAATCACGTCCTCTTTGAGCAGTTGAAATCATGTTGACGAATATTACGAATTGCCTATTTTAAGGAGCATGATGAAGATTATTAATTATAGAATAGTTGGGTGAGATCAGAGTGACGAATATTAGATTTAGAGTAAATATCAACAAAAGTGACCTCTCCGAATATTATATATATTATATATAATGATCAGCATAGTATGTAGCGGGTTAAACCTAAATCATAACTATGCGTGTTTCTTACCTAACCGGTTCTGTCTGGAAATCTCATTTCTATGTTAAGATTTTCTGCACTCACATGCAGACTGCAGAGAAGCAAGGAAATTGCCAGTAAGGTTGGGCAAGATATGGGCCGTAAAACAAGTGAGATGCTGAATACAACTAAAAATTCAAACTACTGTTAGTGTTAGTCCGCAATGCACCCAAATCATATTCCTGTAATGTGTAATGTTAATTTCAGATTTTTGACGAAATTGGAACTGAGAGTTGGAAGTGGAACTGGACAATGACGACAGACTGGGACTGGTTCCCGACCTGTAAGTGTATGTGTGACTGTGTACCCTCAAGGTACGGGTATAACTTTTACTTATAACTATAAGCTTATACTTTGAGTTTGAGTGACCGGCCACTCATGATCATGCCAGACTCTTACTTGTTTCCTGTAAACATTTAAGAAGACGGTAATATTTATTACTTCATCACTATAAAGCAGTATAGGCAGTTTAGTTGTGAATTGGTGAAAATAACAAGAATGAAGAAATGGACTTATTTTATTCAAAATCATTTTCGAATTATAACTTTATGATTTGACGTAAGACAACCGTTACAAAACACACAAATATTATTACCAAACGTGTTCTGTAACAAGTATTCAACGTTATAACGGGTGACACTCGTAAAATATCTGATCCATATATATATTAGGACCGTCGACGAGTCCAACTTTGCTACACGTTGTATACCTCTCGTGCACGCGAAGCCGGCCGCCGGGGTTATTATACAGCGTGTGTCAAGTCCAACTCGGCGCGCGTCCTGGTAGCTTAATATAAACCTACAAATTCTACGTTAATGAGCATGTGTGTGTGATGAGCAGGGACAAAAGGATTTTGCGATTATTTTGGCCAAAAATCGCGATAACGCGAATTTTAACAGACTATACATTAAACTATACATAAAATTTGTTGCAAATAATGGGAAAAATCGCGATTCCGTACATCATACATGTCGCGATTTCCTTTTGTCCCTGGTGATGAGGATTACCTGGGGACCTCAGGCTATCATTGATCATGTTCAATGTTCATTAACATGAGAATAGGTGGAATGATAGGCTGATCGCGCGGCCCAGTAACAGTTAATGTGGCAGTTGGTTTACTGCTACAATGTACAAACTGCTACAAACTAGAACTTACTGCTACAAACTGCTGCAAACACACAAAGGCAAACGGCGCGCACGCGAATGCAGCAGTGAGTAGCAGTTAGTAGCAGTTAGTAGCAGTTAGTAGTAGGTAGTGCGCCATCGACAGTGAGCCGCGCGTGCCGACTGTAGGATGGTTTTTTAGCGCTAATTTCGGCCAGCACAATTTTCTTCAAACAAATAGATATTAAGTTGCTCTAACCAGAGCCCTCTCGCTTGCAGTAGCGCGCAGTACGCGTAGGCACATGGCTAGGTGAAGATATTAAGTATCCTTCCCGACCTTCGTATCACGTTGCGACCCCCACGGTCGTTTCCTGACGATACAGGGGGAGCCGCGCACTTCGTGCGCGGCGGGTCATACAACGTATGACAACCCGACCACTGATTGCAACAAAAATTGGTAAGCTTACTCATAGACTTACAAGGAAAGTGTCCGAAAAGTTTAAAGCATATCCAACCATCAGACATTATGTTACAGCTAAAAGCAGCGTATTTCGCCCCATTTTTATCACTATATCAACTCCGATATCCAGCAAATTTTTCGGACAGTTGTGAAAGCCCTATTGGAAGGTCGTCGCTAATTTTCAGAATGATCTCATTCAAGGAACTGAAGTCGAAGATATATCCAAATAATACGACAAAAATCAACGAATTTGGTCAAATTTGGTCAAATTACGCGACTTTTACAGTTGACGGATGTTACTCGTCTAAATTTCTTCGAAGTAGCGCGCGCCGCTTTCTTCTCGAAATGTTGGCCCGATGGCAAGTGCTATGAAGTAGCGCGCGCCGGGCCAGATCATTAACAATGGTCAACTTTTACAGCTAATTTTGCTCCGAAAGCCGCGCACCATCAAATATGGCACCTAGGCGAAACTCACTGATCTTTCCAAAAAGATATGACAAATTTGGTATTGTGAAAATTCTCACAGTCTCTAGAAAACATGACAATGGTACAAAAATTCTTAAAATCCGAGCAAGTTTATTTTTATGGTGCACCCCCTTTTAGTAGCAGTTAGTAGCAGTTAGTAGCAGTTAGTAGCAGTTAGTAGCAGTTAGTAGCAGTTAGTAGCAGTTAGTAGCTTCACATAGCCATGTGTCTACGCTTACCTGGGGACCTCAGGCTATTATGTTCATAAACATAGAGATTCGGCGGAATGACAGGCTGAGCGCGGCCCAGTATGAGTAAATACAGCTCGACATAATTGATAATCTTGTAGCGCGATGCACTACTAGGCCGCGCCGCGCATCTTCTCGCAACCACATGCAGATCGGCGAGATGCGAAGGATTGACATCGTGAATCAAAAAATAATCGTGCTGCACTACACGGTGCATTTTTATTATTCAGATCATTGCGTCTTTATAAAATAAACGGAGTGTATGCGAAAACTGAAAAATATATACAATATAGATATAATATCATAAAAAGAAATTGCGCTTTGAGGTATTAAAGACAACAGTTATTTCGATAAGGGGGGACAGAGGGCCCAAGTTGCGATATAAACTAGACAATATTGAAGATTTAGACTTAAATATTGAGGCCTTTGGCTAGAGAATACTTTCTTAGATATTTTGGACAGTTTAGGCCCGTGGCCAGTTTTCAAAAAATATTGATATAATATATCCATACCAACATTAACAATTTATCGAATACAATTTTATTAAATATTATCAAATACAACATAATATAAAACCAATTCATACTTCTCTATATGCCATGCATCTCTAATACTGTGTGCCTCAACATAATCGACACTGAGCCTTCTCTTTCCCCTCATTTTACTCAATTAGCCTGTAATTGACCAATTTGTGCAAATAATGTGATTTAGGTACACTTTTAACTATATTCATTGTCATATGTTGTATGACCCGCCGCGCACGAGTGCACGGCTCCCCTTGTATCGTAGAAACTCTATAGTGAAACAACCGTGGGGGTTAAACATCAATGGTCTTGCTTACTTTTAAGCAAGACCATTGATGCTTGTTGAGCTGAAATACATCTGGGTTTATCGAACAGACTAAATAGTACAGAGAAGAAGGATTTTCTCAAACTGTACATGCTGATTAGCATATTGGACCAATAGTGTGGATGGGGCCGGGGTTTGATATGGAATCTTAACTGGAAGCCAGATGGGATCAACGAGTAGCCAGCCCTGCTTTCATAATAATTTGTACGGGTAAAATATATTCACAATATGCCTAAAATTAATAAGCTGGTCATCCACTGCCTTCAATGTCTGTTGCTTGACTGCCTTCGACACTATATATCTATGTCTATGTCTATTTCTTTGTTTTCAGCATGATACTTTTATAATTTTGATACTATCCAAGATTTTGATAAATCAAGCCCAAAGTTTTGGCGCACTAATATTTGGGACCTAAGGTAGTATAGTGTAGATATAAAATTCCTGTACTCTAGCTCTGTACTTTCTACTTGGCGCTTTAAATTTCAAAATAATCAACTACATGTCAACTCCAAATTAAATTTTTCTAATTTGGTCAGAATTAATTATGGCTTGTTAATCTCTACTAACAACTTTGCACAGTTCTTTAAATCAAAGGTCGACAACATATACAACAACATTTATTTAGAACAACAATCCCAAGATTCTCCTAACTCAGATGAATTTGTTCCTCTTTCTAATAGCCCAAAGATAGTACAATTCCGTCATGTGTCTGATGAAGAACTAGTAAGCATCATAAAGAATATGTCTAACAAATTCTGTGATCTTGACCCCATACCTACAAAGATTCTCATCAAGTGTCTCCCAGAACTCCTTCCTCTGATCTCATTTATAGTCAATGAATCATTAGTTAAAGGTGAGTTTCCTATAAAACTTAAGGAGGCTCTCATTCGTCCAAGTTTGAAGAAACGTGGCCTTGACGGTGAATCTCTATCTAACTATAGGCCTATTAGCAATCTCTCATTCTTGTCAAAAATCATTGAGAAGTGTGTATCTATACAGCTCACCAGTTATCTTGAGGATAACAACTTGCTTTCTAAAGTTCAGTCCGGCTATAGGAAGTTTCATAGCTGTGAAACTGCAACAACCAGAATCCATAACGACATCTTGATAACTATTGACAAGAAAACTAAAGTTGTTCTTTTACTTCTAGATTTGAGTGCTGCCTTTGATACTGTCAATCACCCAAGATTAATCAAGAAGCTAAGATCTGCTTATGGCATTACAGGCATTGCTCTTACATGGATCAGGTCCTACTTGGCTAACCGTTCATTTTGTGTCAAAGTCAAGGATTCGTCTTCCTCAGCAACTGTTCTTGAGATAGGTGTGCCACAAGGTTCAATCCTTGGCCCCCTGCTATTCATATTGTACACCAAAGATCTTGAGAACATTGCAAGTATGCATGGGTGCTGTATTCATTTGTATGCTGATGACACCCAGCTGTATTTCACTCTTGATTCTGATGACCCATCACAGCTAGAGCACAATATGGAACACTGTATGTCTGATATCAAGAAATGGATGACAAACAATTTCCTTCAACTGAATTCTTCTAAGACTGAAGTCATCGTTATATCCTCTAAATTTGACTCAACAAATATTCCAGCCTCTCTACAGATTGTTAAGGATCAAGAGCCACATGTTGTTAGTGGAACTGTGAAGAGTCTTGGGCTGTATTTGGACAGTTATCTTTCAATGAGTGATCAGATTACGTCAGTGGTTCAAGCATGTAATATTCAGATCAGAAATTTGTGGTTTATTGCATCAAAACTGTCTTTTAACCTTAAGATTCAGCTTGTTCATGCTCTAGTACTCTCTAGAATTGATTATTGCAATAGCGTATATTTTGGACTGAGCTCTTATGATTTAAGTCGTTTACAGAAGGTGCAAAATTCTGCTGTAAGATTTATTTTCGGGAGAGGAAGAAAGGCACACACTACTCCACTACTTAAGAAAGTTCATTTTCTACCAGTTAGATTTAGAATAGATTTTAAGATTGCCCTACTTGCCTACAAGTGTTTAAATAATATAGCTCCTCCTTACTTAAAAGAGTTGATATCTCCTAGGCAGCAAAGTTTTAAAAATGTACGTCTTGATAATGATTATTTTTACCTTAGTTTTCCGCCCTCTCCTAACAAATGTAAACACAGAGAAAGCTTTTAGTCACTGTGCAGTTAAAGTATTTAATTCCTTGCCATACGACATAAGATCAGCTGAGTCAGTTACATCTTTCAAGACCAAACATAAAACATACTTCTTTTCTCTAGCATTTGATTGATTTTGCATTTACATAGGTAAAATGAACTTGTCATGTCTAATTTTCAATTAAACTAAGCTCAGTTAATGTAAGAGCCGCTTTAGAAAGCACTGGAGTTTATCTCCAGGATTAAATTATATCGAGTTATATGATTTAGCTATAAGGCGGTTTATAAATGTTGTATTTATTTATTATTATTATAATTCTACTAAGAATTTTTTTGTCTGTACGACCGCCCACGTGCAAATCAGACCAGAAATAGGAAGTTGCGTAGTAACCATAGTAACGAGGATTGTTACACGCACGTGCACGTGCAATGATTGTTTTAACGTCATTTTAATCGGTTTTGTTGATATTACGCTGTGTTTAGTACGAGCAACATTTTATTTGGCTGTATCATCGGTGGGGATGAATACACGATTAAAACTGACTTCCAAACAATACTATTAGGTTTCTCCCTGTGACCACGGGTTTTCTAGTTGTATATAATATTTTCTAGCTCTATTAAGAGATATCTTAGATATAAAACTAACCAACATGCATGTATTCTTAGCACACATGGTATGTGATGACTGATAAACTCAGTATAGACATCCATGATGATTCCCAAGATCCCCTACCAGACCTGTATGACAATTTGAAGTCTCCTGATAGAACGAAAACATGGAAAGGGTCCAGGTTACGTCGCACTAAGACATACTCTGGTAGTCCTAACAACAATTTGGGTAATGAAAATACCCAGGCTATGGCAAACAAAGTTATTGAAGCTGACAAAGGTCCTATACCTCTTTCTCCTGTAAATCAACGGAAGGGAAAATGGAATAAAACTAACATGAAGCGCCGAAGCACTATTACTGCCAGGGATAAGATGAATAAATCTTATAATGATAGAAGTGATCCAAGGCTGATAAATTCAGATTGCTTTGCTCTCTCAACAAAGAAAGTTGAAGTTCGCCATTCCTCTGACATCAGCAAAAATGCTGTCATGCACAGGTACTCCTGCCAGTGTAAACAATACCTTGACGAGGCAAAAGAGATCATTTACAAGTTACAGGAACACCAGTCCTATGATAGCAATATTCTTGGTGAACAAGAGGAGAATCTCTGCTCTGGAAGAGATAACGCTCTGACACCCCTTGACATCCTAAATTCATCAATTCTGGAGGAAGATTGTAACCAAATAAAAGCTAGTACCCCTTTAACCACTGATGAGCGAATTCAAACATATGCAGAGAACACGAAAGCAGAAAAAATAACCGATGTGACTGAATTCAACTTTGACTTTCAGATGCTTGATGACACCATCTTGGAGCTCCAAACCATCCAGGGCGAGCTCAGAGAGTCCAACAAGGTTAACGAAATGTGGTCTGATAGTAATGACACCATCTTGGAGCTCCAAACCATTCAGGGGGAACTCAGAGAATTCAAGGTTAAAGAAATGTGGTCTGATAGTCTTGATAAAGGTTGCTGTGATCAGAAATCGATTGATAGACGCAGGATCCCCTCAACTATTCGCGATTCAATGTCTGAAACAGGTTTGTTGATAACTTTGCTAATTGATTGCACAACGACTAATTATGCAGCATACATTTGTCGCAGATGGCAAGTTTGCTCTAAATCCACAACAGTTTTCATGCTCAAAATAGACCATTAAAATTGTCTCTGACTGATCAAATCAGTTCTATGGAATTTAAAAGTTACATATTTAGATATTGAGAGAGTGATAACTAGTGCATCATATTAGATCATCCAACTCAACTTATGGTCACTCTATTTCCAAGTGCAAGCAAATTGTCGTACAATTATATTTTCATCTCAGAAAGGGTCCGGCCATTGCTGTGAAATATTATGATAACAACTGTTTTAAAAACAGTAATTCCTGTAAGAATTATTTAAACAGGCTGAATTCCCGCAGTCAAAGTTTGCACTGTTCATGTTCATTAAATTTCGAGGGATAAAATTTCTGGAATAACATTTTTGGTGGCAACTATTACCACAGGTCTCACAACTCCCTTCTTTAAATCAAATTTGCGGCGGAATGAATCAAATTATTTTACAGGCCGGCTAAGTATCGGGTTAAATGCCAGGTAGAAAAAACAAACGGACTTTACCATCATTAGGTTAAACCAAACTGTATATACACAGTACACACTCCCATAATACCTGAAGTGTGAACCTCAAAACTGATACTTATAAACACTGGGATAACACCAGCTCACTGCAACCTCACTTCAGATGGCAGCAGCGTGGTTTACATCCTGATCTCCGTGTTCTCCTATTTGGACCTGACCAGTGTATACGAGGCAGGTAAAGTCTGCAGGACCTGGCACTGTGCCTCTCAGCATCCTGCTGTATGGAGAAACATCACCGTCAACAACAAGAAACTCTCACCTCAGGTCAATATCTATTGATTGATTAATTGATTGATTAAGGGGCCATCTACTTAGGACGTCCGCCAAAATCTCAGATTTTCAGACCCCCCCTCCCCATGTCCGGGTGTGTCCGAATTTTCAAAACCCCCCTCCCCCGGACGTCTGGATTTTCAGCTACTTTTAAGAGTACAAATAAAACCAACTCAAATTCATTGTTAATATAATGTGTAGTTACTTAAAATAGACAATAATACATTTAGTGTCGAACAAGTTTAGCACAGTTTACAGTTACATTAAGTACTTATAGCCATCCAATGGAATAAGTTTTAACGCAGTAGGAGGATATGAGAGTTGTGTCTCGGCTCTCATGAGCTGCTCTGGGAATGGACTTCTCGTTCAAAATACAAGGATCTAAACTTACAGAGTAATTAGTGCCAAAGAGTTGAAATAAATGGGACTTTTTCGTTAATTCTGCCAAGATTTCCGGACGTCCGGATTTTCAGAAACCACCCCCCCCCCTTCCCCCTGTCCAGATTTGTCCGAAATTCCAAAACCACCCCCCCCCCTCCCTATTTACCGGACGTCCTAAGTAGATGGTCCCTAATTGAAATACATGAAGTCATTGTTAGATCGTTGATAGATTAATAAATGTCAATTCACTGTCGTTTATTGGCCCTGAAGGAGGGGTTGTCATATTGGTAGGGGTGTGTTACGAAGATATGTACGTAATGTTAACGGTATGCAATGGAATATTTATTATAGGATTTCAGGCTAACTGTAGTTAGGGTGCAATATAAGTTCAGCTTTGAGTTTTAACTACTTTTCTAGTAGTTATGATAGAAGCTAAGAGGAGAAGCTTATATTTTGACCATAGTTATAATAGAACAGGTATAATACATCTGGTGCCTATTTCAGCTTTGAACTTTTGTTGTTGTTAAACTTACAGGTTGGATATTTGAGACCTGTTGATAGTTTATCGTACGATGTAATAACAATTGTTGGGCACGATAATATAATACCAGGTCCAACCCATCCCAATCCAAGAAACTTTATTTTCTCCCGCCATTTGTTCCGGAGAATTTCCCTCATATCAGAAAACAGGGTCCTAATTACGTGCGGTCTGTCCGTTCCGAAGTGAGGTTATCCGCTCTGTAGTATGTTATGAGAAACATTATGTTACCGATCAGGAAGCGTACCTTGTAATGACCCATTGTCACCAACACATTCAATCTGTTCTGTCAAAAACACTGTATATATAAACCTATATAATATCGTAAAGATAGAATGCTTGACATGTTTATCATATTTTCTAGATCTGTGTGTTTCAGTCAGTAACTACGTAACTACGTACAATATTAATAATGACGAGGTGAAGAAGTGTGTCTTCACGTCACACCTCTCCACAATAGTTAGATCACTTATATCTCTCTCACTAGCTTCAAAGCGTTTACATATAACGTAATCTTTTGAGAAAGTATTTTAAAAGCTCAAATCTCGTTACTTGTAACGTGCACTTGTACATGTATTGTATGGAGTGTGGACGTCAGTTTGAATCAGTGTTTCAGGGTGGTAGTCAGGGTGAAGGAGAGGGACCCACCTCAGTTTGTTAAGGTGGAACTGTCATACTTTTCACGTGAGAATCCTAAAAATAGCCTTACTTCTGAAAATATTCTGCAGATCACTGGGGCGTTATATAGCACTTGTTTTTAAATACATCCTTATCAAAAAACGATTTCGTTCAATTCTGACCATGTCCGGCTTCACTGTTCCCGTATATTCTGAATGGTGGCTAAGATTGAGAATAAAATATCCGAACTGAAAGATCAAAGCAAAAGTTCTCATGGATCTCTTTGACGTACTCACATTTTTATCGATCAGAAGGATTGAGTGATAATGACGGTAACCACTTCGTTGCAATTTAGAATAAGACAGTGATAATTGGAACCTCCAATCAGCAAGTTCCCTGATATAATGTGATGAAAATCATTCAGGAGGTACAATCTAGTACCTCCCCTGATGTGAAAGTGATACTCTCTTGATATGATATCACTTAGACTACACATTATTACGTTACTAGTGTAACCCGGCCTACGGCCGGGATTTCACTGCCGCAGTTAAAAAGGGTAGGAGTAATTACCCGCTGAGTCAAAACCCGCATTAGGTGACCCAATAGTTTCTTAAACAATAATCTCATAATCAGTTATTTCTTGTGGATAATTAAGTCATTATTAGCCATGAGGCACCACACTCCATGATCATAAGGTCTGAACACCGAGTATTACACCTCATCACTCCCGTCTTGAACCGCTTTCTATTTTTATTTAAATCGTTATAGAAATTAACCCTTGTTAACTCCGCACCACACCCGCATATTATATTTGAAAACACGCATAACATTGTCGTATGAACTCTCTCTCTCTCTCTCTCTCTCTCTCTGTAGTCCAAACAGACCCCAAACACTAACAGTCCCCCCTCCCCTAATAAGCTTAAGGTATAACATTACAGCGAATCTTCCGGGCTAATCCAATTATGACACTACTTAAATGCAGCTATAACACATTACACAGTAATGAGAGAGAGAGCAAGCCCCGTAACTCTTGCCGTTCTGCTCAAGCAATTTTATGTAACATTTGTGGTACAAAACCATCAATTAAACCACTTACCACCGGCCGATTTAAAAAAAAATTTCCTATGGGCTTCATCAGAGTTTTGTCGGCACTATACCGAAAAAACCAGTCCCGTAACTATTACCGTTTTTTTTGTATAACCGTTCGGAAATTACACACAGACAGACAGACAGACAGACACACATACACACACACATTCTGGTGTTATTAAGTTGATATTACATACACATCTAAGTATCATTGAATTCTGAGAAAGTTGGCTCACACGTCTCACGCACCAGCTAACTTCATCACAATTGTGAACATGCCGCGGCTCAAGTAGTAGCTCAGGTAGAAAAGAACAATAAAGGATCACGTGACACACAATGTATCACGTGACACACAATGTATCACGTGACACACAATGTATCACGTGATATGAGCGTGCATTCTGTACCCCCCATGTTGTCTTGTTCACCTAAATTGTCTCAGTAAAAGAGGAAACAAACACTGCAAATACAGAATGCTTCTCCGTTTGGATAACGAGTTACACTGATTACATTGTTAGAGGAAACAAAGGCACCGTGTACTGTACCACATGCCTCTCTCATAACTATTTTCCTTATCATTTATGCAGGCTTGAATGAATTTTATAATGGCTGACAATGAATCTTATGGCCGACAATAATTGTCAGAGATTAGAGAGTTAAGATTGTGAAGAGCTAATGTGCTGTGTGGACAAGTTGTTTAATAATTAGACACAAATGATTTAGGTAATGATGTCACCAGCAATTCAGCCTAACTGCGCTCTTTTCCCTTTTATGGACGATGAATCTTGAATTTACTCAAGGAATTTACCCTCAAATTGTACCATTAAGCGGGTAAATTTATCAGTAGGTGACAGGTCCGTAGCCAAGGTTTAATTTGAAGCAACAAATGCAGTATAACTAAGTATGTTATAGGGGCGATGTGTCGCTATCAGCGATTATAAAACTCGAACTTTCTACGTACTTTCTACGTACTTTCACACATTGCCAGTGTCAAGTCACCTGGAATTCGGCTAACTCTCAATTATCTTTAATTTGAAAGTCTATAAGATAATTTTTCATCGTTCCAACAGTGTTACAAAGCGTAGTTAAGGCGTAGTTAAGGCGTAGTTAAGGCGTAGTTAAGGCGTAGTTGGTGCAGTGTCAGTCGGGGAAGAGAGAGGTGAGAGAGGTGGCGGGGTTGTTACAGAATAACTAACTGTAAATATATCCTAGTTACTGTAAATATATTCTGGCGTATTCTCTGTCTTGATTTCTGCACTTGGTGGCTATCCCGTGCTAATATAAACCACTTTATCGCTCTTCAACGTGCAAATACCTTCTCAATATACTGCTATGTGTATGTATAACATTATTTTTACACCATGTACGTGACAGAAGCAGAAGTTAGGATTTAACGCTCGTCTCCCAGTTTTAAAGTTTTACAGGCCTTATTTATTCTGCAGAAGGCCCTGGGGTAGTCGTTACAAAGTGTTGCTGTTGTCTCTAGATCACTAAGTGTCAGGACAATGTGATATAATATGATAGAATGACTTATAACGTGACACGTGTACGTGGTGTTACATTATGTGCCCCCGCCTCTTCTCGTTGCTATGGAATTAATTGTGGATACTTTTGTTTGTGGAACTTGATAACAATATCATAGTTTATCACGAGATCACTGTTCCGATAAACTGTAACTATGAGAAAGAATGAAGGTGCCAGTTCCCTCTAAAGCTCTAACCCGGTCTCTAACAAGTCGCGTGACAATTACAGGAGTCACGTGACAATTACAGGAGTCACGTGACACTCCGTTATCTGTTAATCAAGCATTAAGTACCTACTACAATAGTGTTACAACACTTGGTGTGAAGATCACAGGTGTGACAAGCACCCAGAGGTAAGGATAGTGTGATCACTGTCCGTTAATTTGTCTACAATCTGATATATCTTAGTATCTGATACTCAGCTAGATATGTCTCTCTGGCAGGAGATACGGCACGAGTGAGAGCATTTAGCACATCTAATATAGTGTTAGTATTTGTAAGGTCCATTGATGGGCATTGGGCAGCTGGTTAGGCTGTAGTCTATTGTTAGACTATGTTATAGTCTGTGATGGGTTGCATGCGGAGGAGGAGGATATAAGCCATGGGTTATAATATATGGTGCACAAAAATCAGCTGTACTGTGGGAATCACTGATAATTAATTATACAGATCTCAAATTCGTTATTATTACCAAATACCATGTGTCACCTCCCTCAATTTACACAATATCCTGAGTAATTATAGTGATGGGGAGTGGCCCTTTGGGGACCTTTCATGATATTAGAGTGTTCATAAGCTTCATTAGCTTTGTGGCAATGGGGCTCTATTCTCGTCCCTCAAACTTG